GTACATTAATGAGGAAAAAAAATTAACTTAAATGATTTTAGCAAATGGCTGCAATATAACAAAGAGTGAAAAATTTAAGGGGGTCTGAATACTTTCCGTACCCACTGTATATGCCTATACAAAACATTTTACTCATATGGAAACTGTAATGCTATTAAAACATATAATTTGTGTCGAGAGTCGGAGTTGCTTAATCAGGACATTAAAAATATACACATAACTTATTCAATCTCAATCTTTACTTTATTTGTCCCTCACGAGGGAAATTTGTTTTGGGCAATACAGGTAAAACTGCACAACATGTACCTACATCAATAATAACAATCACACAGTTGTGTCCCCTGAATTAGAGTTTAGCCTTGTAGCCAAAGGAACAAAAGAGTTTTTATAACGGTTATATCTAGACATTGGAGTACGAAAGCGTCGTCCAGATGGAATTAATTCAAATTCTTGCTGAAGCACATGAGAAGGGTCCCGAGTCATTTTCATTGCCTGTTTAAGAACAACCTTATTAAAAATAGACTGAAAATTGGGGTAAACCCCCAGACCAACCATAGCAGTACACACCAAACGGTTCAACTGAGATCTAAGAGTAACTTTCAAATTACCAAACCAGGCCATTATAACATATAGTAAGATGGATTCAATACATTCAGAGAAATAACGCTGACTACATACAGTATGGACTTAAAGTAATGAAGCTTTATTTCCAAGATGATGCATGGTAACTTAAGCTCTGAATTTCAATGCAACATAGAGCAATACAGTAACAGAGGCTTGTATTGAATTATTCAAATCAATTTCTGATACTAATACCAGATATACTGTATGTTCATGTTAAATATTTCCTGCATAATTACGTACACAATGAAATCTATTGTGTGTTAGATCAATTACCTGTGTCGGCAGTGCGCAGCAGACACACACACACCTTAAAGAGTTAAATATATCGCTCATCGTGCCTGAGAAAAAAAAAAAACATTACAAATAACATCTGAAGTAACAATTAATTTACATACGCATATCTTAAAAACTAATCTTGTGTGACTGATACGCTTCAAATCGAATAGGTCAGTGTTTTGGCTGTCAGTCAGTGATGCTCTCTGCCGGTAGGGAATAGTAAAATGGCGGCGCGAACACTTCCAGTGGCTTCATCGCCAAATGGCAGTTTAGAACGCAATGAGCAATCCAGTCATTATATAGATCAGTGGGTATGGGTAGTTACTGTAATAATACATGCAAATGCAGAAATTAAGTACATATGTAATTACATGCAGGTATTTTTAAAAGTACCAGGCCCCACTTTTCAGTAGGAGATAATATGAATCAAAGCTCAACAGATTGAATTGATTCTTGAAGAATCATGTGACACAGAATTACAATTTAATAGTATATTAAAGTAGACAAGGTTTTTAAATTGTTTTAAATTGTAATAATATTTCTCAATGTTACAGTTTTTGCTATTTTTTTTTATCAAATGCATGTAGCCTTGGTGAACATAAGAGGCCCCTAATTTTTAGATGGTATGTACTGTAGCGGCCCACTATGTTTTGAAGGACAGCACAAGTGTCACATTAGTAACAGGCTCTTACTTTCCACATTGTCCTCAGGTTATTGTCTTTATGTATTATGGATTCCAACTTAACCGCTGGGTTCTGCAAGTCTCATCACCATACTTCCTGAAGGGCCCATTGCCATACCACCCACAGCTCAGAGCTCAGGCCTGGCGCTACCTTAGCTACATCTTCATGCACGCAGGGTGAGTTACACACTAGCTATATTATTATTTTGGTATACAGTGACTGATTATGTTAATATGATTATGTTTATACATGAACATAAAGTATTTATTTGACTTCAAATTATTTTAATGTTAAATTAAGATTAGCTTAAACTTCCTTTACAGAAAAATAGTCCATTACAATCATCCTGGCAACCAGTGTTAATTTCGTCGACGAATAATTTTCATCATAATTTTCGTCAACGACATTTTTTTCACCGACGATAACGAACTAAAACTCTTTTTGAATGACAATAACTATGATATACATCTATTGACATTTTCGTCAACTAATAAAAACGAGTTAGGGAGGGACGATTTGGGAAGAGATTCATTCAGAACGAATCTGCTGCGTGGTTCGGAGGTTAGATGCATACATATGAACCGGCGGGACATAAGCTAACATGCACTTGATGCACGTCGCATAAAACGTTCAAAAATGTCAATATGTGGGAGTAAGAGAAGAGCAGACATATGGATAAATCTGACGAC